CCGGTTTTCAAGGGGAATGCTTCCAGCTTTTGCTCATTCAGTATCATATTGGCTGTGGATCTATCATAAATAGCTCTTATTATTTTGAGGTATATTCCTTCAATATCCAGTTTATTGAAAGTATTAGCATAAAGGGATGTTGAATTTTATTGAAGGCCTTTTCTGTGTCTGTCAATATAATCATGTGGTTTTTGTCTTTAGTTCCATTTATGTGATGAATTACGTTTATTGATTTGCATATGTAGAACCAGCCTTGCATCCCAGGGATGAAGCTACCTTGATCATGGTGGGATAAGCTTTTTGATGTGTTGCTGGATTTGGTTTGCCAGTATTTTATTGAGAATTTTTGTATGAATGTTCATCAGTCATATTGGTCTGAAGTTTTGTTTTTGTTTTTTTTTTTTAATCTCTGCCAGGTTTTGATATCAGGATGATGCTTGTCTCATAAAATGAATTAGGGAGGAGTCCCTCCTTTTCTATTGTTTGGAATACTTTCAGAGGAAATGGTACCAGCTCCTCTTTGTACCTCTGGTAGAATTCAGCTGTAAATTCTTCTGGTCCTGGGCTTTTTTTGGTTGGTAGGCAAGTGATTCAGTCTTGGGAGGGTCTGTGTATCCAGGAATTTATCAATTTCTGCTACGTTTTCTAGTTTATGTGCATAGAGATGTTTGTAGTATTCTCTGATGGCTGTTTGTATTTCCGTGGGGTCAGTGGTGATATTCTCTTTATCATTTTCATTGTGTCCATTTGATTATTCTCACATTTCTTTATTAGTCTAGCTAGCAGTCTATCTATTTTATTATTTTTTTCCTGGATTCGTTGAGTTTTTTGAAGGGTTTTTCACGTCTCTATTTCCTTCAGTTCTGCTCTCATCTGAAGGGGTGGCCTGCCCCTCCACACCTGTGGGTATATCTCGTCAGGTGGGACGAGAGACTGAGAAAAGAAATAAGACACAGAGACAAAGTGTACAGAAACAACAATGGGCCCAAGAGACTGGTACTCAGCATACCAAGGACCTGCACAATCAAAATGGAACTCAAGATTAAGAAACTCACTGAACACCACACAACTACATGGAAACTGAACAACCTGCTCCTGTATGACTCCTGGGTAAACAATAAAATTAAGGCAAAAATCAAGAACTTATTTGAAACTAATGAGAACAAAGAGACAATATACCAGAATATCTGGGATGCAGCTAAAGCAGCATTAAGAGACAGTAACAGTCTGATCTTTCTTTTCCCTACACTAATCTTGGTTATTTCTTGTCTTCTGCTAGCTTTGGGGTTTGTTTGCTCTTGGTTCTCTAGTTCTTTTAGTTGTGATGTTAGGATGTCAATTTGAGATCTCCCTAGCTTTTTGAAGTGGGCATTTAGTGCTATAAATTTCCTCTTAATGCAGTGAGCTGTAGGGGGCCATGGGACCCAATATGCCCTTTGTAGTGTCCCCCACCTCCTCACCGAAGAGGAAAAGTTCGGGACTGGCCTCCTGAACTCCTGAGATGCACCTCAGGGATGTGTATTTTAAATTAGGGGTGCTGGGGTAAGGAGACATCAGAAAAGCTCTTTCTAGCCCAGCCAAGTCTAGCCTCCTTCCTGCAAGGTTTATATCCTGGGGGCTTTGGGCTATTTTCCCAAGGAGAGCGCAAGCCTCATCCTTGTCTCTCTGCTCAACATCCAGCCCTGTGTAAAAGCTCTAGGCTTGCCTCATGCTAACTTGCTTGAATAATGTGTATTTTCTGCACTCCTTCAGAGAGAGGCCGGCCGTTTTCTCCCTAAATGCAGTGAAAGGAGGTTGTGCCATTGTCGTGCCTGCCAGGTTGCTGGTGGACATGGCTGTGAGGGTCATAATTAAGGGGGGTCTCAAGACGGAGAGGCCAGGCATCCCTTGTGCTCACCCACCTGGTCCCCAAGGCAGCCCAGTTCTTGGTAAAGAAATACCGCCAGGGAATATCTGGGCTCTTGTGGGACAGGGCTAGTGGAACCTACTTGGGAGTCTCAATTGTGGGCAGAAAGTAATATCTATGTGTAGAAGTTCCCACTGGATGAAGGGCCAGTGCAATCTTCCTCTGATACCCAAACACTTCCATCTATCTGCAATTACAAAAATCTGATTTGTGTCTGCACAAGATAAGGGTGGAATCCTTAAATTTAAGAACCCCAAAACAAAAGCAAACAAACCCAGGTGTCTCCCACAACTTCCTAACAAGAGTCTCCAAACCCTCTCCAGGGTCTTGGCTTGTAGGCTCAAGGGTCCCCATCTTGCCTTGGAGACCAGGATGGGGCCTCACAGGGCAGAGCTGCAGGGAACAGTAATGGGCCCATGGGGCTCACAGGGTGTCATGCTGTGGAGACAAACTGTCCATAATGGAGATACCCAAGTAGGGCCCCAGCCAGCCTGGGGGGTTTTCCTTGTTGGTTACAAGAGAAGCAGGGTCTGGCTGAACAGGCCTGGGGCCCTGCAGAGGTGGGGAGCTGGAACAGTGGGCAAGAGAGAGCCAGAGCTTGACAGAGTGCCAGGGGAGCCCAGGATCACCCACTCTCCACTTCCCTCCTCACTGCTCCCTTTACCCAGGCAGAGGCATGGGGTCAGGAAAGCACAAAGCCCAGGGCTTCACAGCCCAATAGCCTTCCTGCTCTGTCTGTCCCCGCTGGTGGGTACAGGTGGGGTATGGCCAGATACTGCCTGGGGGCCCAAGGCCTTACCCCCCGCAATCCAATTATTAGATGATGATTCCTCCTCTTGGTAGCAGGAAAGTCTGGCAATTGTGTTGCTTGTACTTCTGGCAGGGACAACAGCCCCTGCAGAGGATGGTCCACGGGGTCCAGAGATGGTGGGTTCTCGCAGCCCAACTTCTCAACAGCACCTTCTCGCTGCAAGTCAACAAATGGGGTCCTCAGCTTGGCCCCAGAGTCTCCACCCTGAGAGACCAACACTGCTAGCAGGGACAGATTTGCAAAGTGGCTGTGGCCCAGAATCTTGCGGATCAAACGGACAAACTGATGGAGCACAGAAAATTCCGTGGCTGAACTGGGCCATGGAAATGGCAGCCTGGGCAACAGGTTCATGAAAACAGACTCTTCACACCTTGGTCCCGCCCTTCAGGTCTGAGCGAGCTCCACCTGCTCCTGGTCAAAGCTGGGGGCGGGTTTCCCCCACCTCCTTGCCCAAGCCCATCCCCTGTCTACCTGGGGATGCTGAAGGTAGCCTTTGGGGTAGGCCGGGCCTGTGCTGGCCACCAGGCTGTGGGGACTACCACCACCCACGCATGGAACTGGAAGGTGCCTCTGGGTGAGGGTGGGTCACACTCACCTAGGGATTGCCAGGAGAGGACAGTGGCATTTATAACTTGGAGCTAACGGCATTTCATTAGAGGAGACCCCCCCAGACCCCCTTTGGATGGTGGAGGAGCCCCCCTGTGCTCAGAAGCTGCCCTGGGAGTCCCTGAGGGATGGGGCTGGAGCCAAGCTCCTTGGAGGGCCAGTGTTCTCCCTGTCTGGTTTGGAAGCAGAGTAGGCTTCTGGGGACTTAGTCACCTTGGGATTCTCGGATCAATGTGGGCAGAGGAGGCTCTGGAAGGGCCGATTCAACTTTCGCCCGAGGCGGCAGAGCATCCTCTGGGGAGGAATGCAGGTGGCAGGCGGGGATCTGCATCAAGGGCAGCCCAGAGCTGCCCCCCGGCAGCAGCGCCCCTCCTGCCCCCCAGCTCACCGTCGCACCCTGGGCCTCTCAAGCTTGGCCTCCTGCTCCCCAGCCTGGAGCACGCACCAGGACCAGCCTTGCAGGGCCCAGCGCAAAAGAAAACATCACCCCTTGGCCAAAAGTAACCAAGAATTTCCAGACGGCGAGAGCTGAGCGAGAAGTGAGCACCTGGCCCTGGGGACTCCCCAGGTGGCAGGAAGAAGTGGCCTCGCTGGGACCCCTCTGGCCGCTCCCAGGCCCCTCTCACCACCCCGTCTCTCGGGCATCACAGCTGTGGTTCCTGCCTCTGCCCCACCCAGCCTCGGGCCCTGTGAGCCTCTGGGCCTCCCACACTGCCTGGGACAGGCAGGACTTCCTGTTTTACCCACGACTGTTCTGAGGGCACAGAGAGACGCTGAAGAGCCTGAGGTTTCTGAGATGGAGACCACCGAGCACCGGGAGCGCAGTGAACACTGGTAATGGGGCTGGTGGCCCAGGTGCATCATGGACAGGCACGTGACTGCCCCGACCATTGGCAGCTCCCCTTCCTGGTGATTGGCTTAGGGAAGAGCAGGTGACCCAACCCACCGGAAGTCCCCTGTAGAGTGGCCGGAAGCCCCTGGGGAAGCCTCCCTGTCGCGGGGGCACTGGGGATCCACGTTCGTTGCTTGCGTTCCCTTTTGATGGCGCTGGGGCGCTGTTGCTGTGCTTTTTTTTTTTTTTTTTCCTGAGACGGAGTCTCGCTCTGTCGCCCAGGCTGGAGTGCAGTGGCGCGATCTCGGCTCACTGCAAGCTCCGCCTCCGGGTTCAAGCGATTCTCCTGCCTCAGCCTCCCGAGGAGCTGGGACTACAGGCTCCCGGCACCACGCCCGGCTAATTTTTGCATTTTTAGTAGAGACGGGGTTTCACCGTGTTGGTCAAGCTGGCCTCCAACTCCTGACCTTGTATCCGCCTGCCTCGGCCTCCCAAGCTGTGCTCTTTTTATTGAACGCAGGCCCTCTTGGTGGCTCAGAGCCCCCGGTAGTGCCCTCGGAAGCCGCATGTGCTGGAGGCACATTGGAGGCGAGGATCCTGCAGCTGCGACTTGAGTCGCATGGGGCACGGAGGCCGCGCTGGAGCCCCCAGAGCTGGCTCGGGTTCCGAGTTCTGACCGAGTTGCTTTTTCCAGGAGGAGGGCTGCCAGCATTGAATGTTCACCTGGTGGTCAGGCGCATCCCGGGAAGCAGGCCGAGGCCACCACACCCTTGCAGGGTCACCCCAGCCAACCAGGTGTTACCTGCATGGATGAGGAACGCATTTAAAGAAGAGCAGTGTTTTCCAATGATGCTGGATAAGGCTTTGTTTTTTAAAGGTAACGGATGCTTTAAGGGTGCCCCAGGGTAATTTCTGTAGCCAGGGTTCCCTCCGGGTTAGGGTCTACACGGCCATGGCGGGCTGCACAGTGCACGCTTTATCACTGAGAACTGACTCCTAAGTGACTGTTAACAAGAGTCCATGGGGCCAGTCAGCTTACACACAGGCCTAATATAGCAGAAAGAATGATGCAGGCTGTTAAAACAGCCTTTAGAAAGAGGTTTTCAATTTTTCACTCACAAAGCAAATCAAGCTTCCTAATTAGCTACAACACGGCTGGAAAGCTCAGCTCCTACTAGGCCGCAAGCCCTTGCTGTCTGCTTTCTTGTGTGACCATCTCTGTTACGGGAACGGCTTGGCTGTTTTCTAATCTCACTCGTGTTCAAAGAACTCGTGGCAGGCAGTGGTAACCATGGCAACAAAGGCCATAAATTCCTGGAAGTCGCATTCGCCATCTCCATCACTGTCCAGTGTTTCCATAACTTTGTCCACAACCTCTTGCTCTTTGATTTCCTAAGAGAGATAAAAGAAGTTGCCAACGTTGTTTTTAAATGGAATTTTGGACCATCAAAACATGATTAAAAGTTGAGTGACTCTGATAATTTGTGTCTGAAATAAGCTGAGAACATCAAATGCAAAATATCAGGAAAGGTGTCTCATGTGACCAGGGGCTGTTGTCCAAGTAGAAGTCTCTGGGGGTCAGTGTCTGGCCCTGGGCTACTGGAAAAGGCTGAATGGAACAGCCAAGAGGTGAAAAACTATAGGCTGTTATCTTACTTAAAATACCTGAAAAAAATAAAAAAAATAAAAAGATCATCCAGATCAGCCCTAGCAAATGTCTTGAAATAAAAATAAACTTTTGGCCCTCCTAAACTTTTCATGGGTTCTGTGTGTGGAAGTCCCTGTCTTAAAGACTTCCAGTGGAACGTAATGTTTTGAAAGTCTTCTTTGTTGCTGAAGTAACTCTTGGGAACGTCCTAGATTTGTTAACCCTGTATTCTTTTTCCCACTTGAATTGCTTTCTAGGTGTCATGAAACTTCTTCCTGACAGTTCTGCCTGACGTTGGAGCTGAATGAATGGCGTGGCTATTAAGTGATGTACAAAGCCTCAGAGGAACAACCACAGTGCAGGGCTATAAATGTAGTGGGAAATATTTGGGTATTGAACACTGATGAAGAGCAGAGTAACAATTCCCCGGGACAGGAAGGCTTGGCCTGAAGAAGTCAAGTGTGATGTATAACAGCCACCTTGGCTATAAGACACACAGGGGTCGGGCATGGTGGCTCACACCTGTAATCCCAGCACTTTGGAAAGCTGAGACAGGAGGATCACTTGAGCCCAGGAAGTTTGAGACCAGCCTGGGCAACACAGGGAGACACCATCTCTACAAAAAAAAAAAAAAAAATTTTATCTGGGTGTGGTCCATATGCCCATATTCCCAGCTACTTAGGAGGCTGAGGCGGGAGGATTGCTTGAGCCTGGGAGGTTGAGGCTGCAGTGAGCCAAGATTGCACCACTGCACTCCAGCCTGGGTGACTAAGCAAGACCTTATCTCAAAAACAAATAAAACATACAGAAGATTGTAACTCCACGGGGGTAGGGGTGGGGAGGCACCTGTGGATGGGCAGGAGCAGGGCACTAACTTCAATTACATTATAGATCTGCTTCTGAACTGAAATTACCTTGATAAAACCAGGCAGCAAATGTTCGTGATGCCTTCAAATGCTTACCATGAATTATTTATCATTTACAAATTGAGATTCACACATGCTAAGCTTTTTCTAGTATAAAAATAATTAATAATAGCTACTATTAGTTGAACTTTCACTATATGTTAAGCATTTAAGCACTGTCCCGTTTCATCCTCACAACAGCCCTTGTTCAGAAGAACCTGGGACTTTCAGTTCAAGTCAGAAGGCAGGATTGGTGGAACTAGAAAACAGCGTGTGTGAGTGGGACTACTGCCACTCTGTGGACTTGAATGCCTGAGAAAACCAGCCCTGGAATCAGACGTGGGGATGCCCCCTGCAAGCTTGCAGGCCTGTCTGCTCCACTCTGAACCATTCATAGTGGTGCGGTGTTTGGTGGAAGTGCGGACAGGAGAACCAGCCAGCCCCCCTCCCCCTGCCCTGAAAACACGGACTGCTGGGCTGCTGGAGCCCAGGGCTTGCTGTCTTGCACTGAGAGGCTTGGCCAGCTTAGGAGGGCAGCTCCCCATTCCCATGCAGCAGAGCCCTGCCCTAGTATTTATGCTGGAATCAGGACTTGGTGAGGCACTAGTGCACTGGCTTATTTTCTGGTCATTTCTTCCTTTTGTGATTGCTCATATCGGTGACCCAGGAAGCCCTTCATTGCATCTCACATGTGCACACCACCGGTGCTTCACTCTGGCTCAAGGCATGCCTCAAGCCAGCCTTGGTTCTAAGAGAGCATCAGGTACCGGGGGGATCACAGTTCACTTCCATGAGGGCATGAGGTGGGCAGTAAAGACAGGTGGGTCTGATCCAAGGACAGCGGAGAGAGTGGGTAGGAAAAGGAGTCCTAATGCAAGGGTCTGGACATACTTCCACCCCAAGCCACACCAGGAACTGCCTGAAGAACAGGGCTCGCCAGGAACCCTCGTACAGCTTCCTAAAGTAGGGGCCCCAACTAAAGACAGTTCCTCACCAACACATGTTACTCTGCGGAGCCTCCTGCAAAGCCCCAGGGCTTCCAAAGGATGTGTACAGACCCCTGTCACGCCCTCAGTTAAGCCAGTCATGGTCATTCATCCATGTGCCAGGGTGGGTGCCCCAGAGCAGAAGCCATGACTGTCATGCCTGCATATCTCACCGTTCTTAATTAGTGCCCAGTCAGTGTTTACTGAGTGAAAGTCTGGCATGTCTTATCGCCATAGTAAATACTAAACATCTAGCTAAGCCAAAATACATCCTTTTCCTAAAAACCTTCCCAAAGCTTATTTTTAAGTTTCCTTTTATGTTCACTTTGGCCCATGGTAAGTAATGAGTCCAGCATTATTTGGGAAGCTTTGGCCTTTGGGACCTTGATGCACCGATTGTACACAAGATGGTTGATAAGGACATGAAAACAAGGGGCCCATATGAGCCAGTCCCACACTGAGGGTTCCGTTACTCAAACAAGTTTGCAGAAGCAGCCCAGGAGTCCTGGAAGGAAACTGAAATCACCTTCAGTGCAGCTGAGAAGATAAAGCCAGTGTACCGGTGGCTTTTTAAGAGGAGATGGAGAAAGTGTCAAGTGTAAAAAGCAAGACTCACCTCTAAGAAATGGGAAAGCTCATTGTTGATGAGCTCCTTCAGTTCGGATTTCTTCAGCTTGTGCTTGTCTCCCTCCCTTCCAGAATATTGGTGGAAAACGTCGATGAGGGCCACCATGGCTTTCTCCAGCTCAGACATCCTAGGGGCTCGCAAAGGAAAGATGCCTTCTCATCTATACCTCATCATAAAACATTTCACAGGTTATCAGTACAGACCTCAACCCAGACAAGGGGGATGGACTGGCCCTGGCACTCTTTTCAAGCTCAGAACAGCAGGCATGACCTGGAGGGGCATTCTGGGAATTTGTATCTTTATCAATCCTTCCACCTGCCTCTTAGACAGATGTGAGCCTGCCTTCTCTGTCTCTGTGGGCCACAGGGATATATTCCCATGCCCTCTGGCTTCTGGTTGGGTTGGTCCAACAGGGAATCTAGCAAAAATACAGATGCAGAGCAGCAAAGGAATTCAGGGGTTAAATTTCTGCTTCCTCCCCACAGGGTCCCTCTGTTCTTGTAAGGCTCCAAGATGAGGTGGTAGAGTGCAGGTGAGCAAACCATCGACTACAAGCTGTTAAAATTAATCTGAAAGTAAGACAGTGACTAGGAGCAAAACAAGAAGACAAAAATCAATAACATTCCTATATTCTATCAATAAAGAAATAGAAAATCCAGTGCAAAATATCCTATTCATATAGAAATAGCATGTGATCTAAGACTACGTTTAGGAAGAAAAATGCAGGTCCTTCCAAGAGATTCGGAGGAACATAAAATGTAGGAAGTTTTTCCTTTAAATTCATATGTAAATTTAAATCATTTTTAATAAAAATTATGGAATTTTTTTTTTGGATGTGTGACATGACAAAAACAGCTGTAAAATTCATCTGGAAAAATAAATATGGTAGAATTGCCACAATCTTTTTGAAGAATAACAGTGAAAGTTATTTGATCTACCAGGAAAAAAAATGTATCCTAAGTTAAACTGATTAAATGCGTGTGGTTCTGTCGCAGGGAGGGACAGAATGCAGCAGAAAGCTGAGCTGCTGAGCCTGCATTCTACCTCCAGTGTAGGGAAAGGTTGGTTCATTCACTGCAGTGACTGGGACGGGGGCAGGAATAGCTGTTTCTCTGAAGCTGTCAAAGTAAGAGCCCTCCGACCTCCCTCACAGCAAGTACCTTACGTCACAGCCTACAAACCGAGGAAATATCTCATCAGTCTGGGAATGAGGCGCCTTCTACAAAGGATGCCTTGTCAGTTGTCTCACAAAACAGATGGGCAGGCCGAGAAATTTACCAGCTTTTGGCCTTGAGTTCTAATCATCAAATAAGAACATTTGCACTGTTATAATTAAAAATAAATTAATAAATCAAGTAGTGTTGAAAAATCACTCCCATGTTGACTATATGACTTACATCTTGAAAATAATTTGGAATTAGATGTTTAAATTTTTATTTATTTCTGATCCTCCAAAGGAAACAGAATTGAAGATTTTTTTGTGCTGGCCAGATCTTTGCTAAAGGCATTCTATTAATAATCAGTGTACTTTATTTTGCTCTTGAGTCCCTAAAAATTTGATAATTCATAAATAGAACAGTTAAGATGGATTAAAATCTTAACAGTTAAGATGGATTAAAAATTTAACATTTCATGCTTTTCTTATTCTTTGCACTCAAGTTTTCAATTATTGATATATGTGTGTGTATTTTTTTTGAACAAAACAAAACAAAACAAGACACTTTTACATCATTCTGATGCTCCTCAAAGTCCATGATGATTTGGGGAAAAGGAGGTTAAATTGTTTTTCTATGAATTATGACTAATGGGATTATTACAAAGGAAAGGCATAAAACATGTATTCCATATATTAGAACACTAATAGAAACCACTAGAAAATATGGTTTTCTTCATAACCACACTACAAATCAATTAAAAAATTCTTGTTAAATTTTTCCCTTTGACTTAAGAAATAGTTGATGGTTTATAGTTTATCTTTTAAGAGAAATGGAAATAAATATCCGTTTCTTTCTCACATTCTGTGAATGTCCTACATTAATCTTTTAATATTGAGAACAAGAGAACATTTGAACTTTAACTCCTTAGAAAGACACGTTACCTAGCGTGTGAGGATCCCTCTAGGGGTTCGACCTCCCTAAGAAACTGTGAGACTGAAGAAAGTTAAAATCCACCAAAACCCCAATTTCTTTGACCCAATTTATTTGTAACTGTTACATAATTTCTGAGTGGCGTCCTGGGGCTGTGGTCACCCTGGCACTTCAAACTGAGGGAAACTGGAAAACTGAAGAGTTACTTACCCAGGGCGGTGGAAAAAGTAACAAGGAGAAAAGGGATTTATTTAGGATATGGACTAAACTAGCATTAGGTTCTCCATCATTTCCAGCTGCAGTGGGAAGCAAAATCTTTACTCTTCAAATAGTTACAGGAGAGGCAGTATTTGTAGCACCACTGGGAAAATGTCAGCAATCACTTCTGGGCCACGAGACCTGAGGTTTCTCTGATTTATGGCTGAACACCTCTAGCTGCCTAGGGCTGACGCAGTCAGGTGTCCACAAAGCAGCAATAATGTAGAGATTAAAACACATCATCCTATTGATGCTTCTGAAGTGCTGCCAATTGTCCTAAAGGGGCTTTTTAAGCTACCATTTAGTTTCTACCCCTCCATTCCCTTCCACCCAAAAGAAAACAACCATTTCTTCCTGAGCGTCCTCTTGGCCTGGCTCTTTCTCACCTCTTCCTTGTCTCACCCCTTCCTGGTCTCCTTGCTGCAGGCCTCGTCTCTGCTGCGGGTCCTGGGTGGCAGGTCTGGTGGGCAGAGGCAGCCTCTTATTCTGTCTGCCCAGGGAGGACGGATGAACCCTGGTGCAGCCCACTGCAGGCCGTGGCAGCCAATGGGGGCCGAGGGCGGGGGTGGCAGGGCTGCCAGGCCTGCACACAGGGCTGCATTGACCAAGTAGCCCCAGGGACTTGCTGGGAGCCAGGATTGCACATGGGCTGAGGAAGAAAAAAGGGCCTGTAGGGCAGGAAGTGGGGAGTCAGCTTTTTGTGTGATTTATTTATTACATGAATATTGATGCTCCCCTAAAGGCAAGGTTGGGGGTAGGGAGAGGAGAGAGACTTGGATTAACTGATTCAAACAAAGCAAATGCGCAGCCAAGAACAAGCAGTTTCCAAGTACAGGCTGAGCGTAGGAGATTAAGTGGCCTGCAAGCCGGTTTCTAATGGAGAGGCCCCTGGAGCTTCTCTCCTCTGCCAGCCTCCACGTCTGGCCCCACCGGGCGTGAGGTTCTGTGGACAGTAGTGCTTGTCTGTGGTCAGCCCTGGGCTCAACGGGGCTGCCTCAGGGAAGCTGCTGAACCCAGTGTCTGCAGGGACTAAAAGGGGGGTACTTTTAGGGGAAAACATGATGTGTGGATTATATCCCAAGGCCTTTCCCTCCATCCCAGGGTGGAAGGTCACAGACTGTCAGAGTTGGACAATGCCTTAGAGATGTCCTGTTCGAATGCTGTTTTACAGAGGCGTGTGGACGGTGTGCCCCTTGCTGAAGGCTCCAGCCAGCCTGAAGAAGAAGTCCAGCTGTCCCCTCAACTTGTCGACCTGAGCCTCTGAACACGGGGGCCAGTTTGTGGGTTCTTCCTCACAAGAGTGAAGAAGTAGGTGTTCCTTCTGACAAATTACACAAAAGCATTGGCCCAAACTCTACAAACGTGTCCATGGTCCCCAACCGAAGCCTGACCCAGCATCAGGTCCTTCTCCCAACCCAGTTTCGAAGTGGCCGTGAAAGGGTTTCCCACGAGATATCTGCGTACACGGCTTTTTTGCTGTCATTGCTTTATCTAGGAAGTTCTCTGCCATTCAGGATCTATAAGTGTGCCCTGGAAATAGCACAGGGCTGAGAGCTGTGGTCTTGCGTGGGTCAGCCTGCCCCAGGCTCCTGTGAGGAACGGCCTGAGCCGGTTGGTTGGCCCTCACTTCCTCTTCGGCTTCACCACCCCTGGCTGTGGTCTCTGCTGAAGGATCCGCACAGGCTTGCTCTGTGAAGCACAGAGCTTGCCCAGGCCCAGGGAAGGTACAACTGTGCTCTGTGCCCTTTCCTCGCTCAGATGTTGGAGGGACCATTCCGGTGAGTGCTGACCACTTCCCCAGAGTGGCAGCCTGAACTCTGGATTCACCCTTCAGTAGCCATAGAAAACGCTCCAGCCTGCTCCTGCAGGGGTTAAAAACAGTTTGAAACCCACTCATGCAATGACCGTACACCTGTGCCTGGGACACTGCGTTCAGCAGGAGGGCCCAGGCAGGCCTGCCCTCCGCACACCACAGCTTCCTGGGATGGCAAGTGCTGGGCAGTGGGTCCCCCCTGTTCCCAGGTCTTGGGAGCAGGCTGAGAGAGAGGATCTGCCACAGGAAGGAGAGGGACTTTCAAGCACTCTGGGGCCCCAGGATGGTACTGTCTGCCCAGGTTCCCCAGGAGCGCGTGGACACAACCTCACCAGCTTCCCACAGATGCCTACAATTTCTGGTTCTGAATCTTGGCTCCACCATTTAACAGTGGTTTGACTTTGGATAAATTACTAAGACTTTCTGTGAAAGGGGTGACCATAGTCCCTACTTGGCAGGGTTGTTCTGCATGTTTTTCCCTGACCTTCACACTTCCAGATCACCCTGGCTTACTCATCCTGACCCCTCAGTTTTGATCTTATCTGTGACTCGCACATTCACCCACCCCCTGCAGCTATGTTCCACAGAAAGACCCTTCACTGAGTAATGCGAAATGCATTATTGAGCGAGTGGAACACCTGAAAAGTTCCATGGTCTATAGCCTACATATGACCATATGGATTGCTAGACTAGACCTCTGATTTCAGTGGGATGATAATATTTCAGAGTAGCAGGCTAAGACAAGGTGGACATGTCAGCCATAAACAGCAGAAGGAACATACCAGTAATCAAAATGCCTTAGTCGACAGAGATTTTTGGCAGTGGTCAATTGCTCACGGTGTTCCTCAGAATGAAGAGATGGACAGTTGCTAGAGTGGTCTTTAATCCACACAACAGGAAAACCTCTAGGTCTGGTCACCAAAATACCTACCTTGAATCACCACAGTGGAGATCATGGGCTCTCTCCAAGTGTCCAGACCTAAGTTGGGTCAGACCTAGGGCATCTTGATTGAAGGGAAAAGCCAAGGCCACTTGAGAAAGAATCTGTGCTAGTGAGAAAGAATACCACAAACCCTCCTCCACACCTGTTCCGAAGTGCCCTGCAGCCATCAACTAATGAAAAGGAAATAACCTAGATGTCTCAGGGATTGCCTCCTTTGACATGAATTCCTGGGAACCAGAAATGTCACTGTGGCTCACCAGTCAAAGTAGGAACTTGTGATGGTCAGGTCTTCACTTGATAGAGGTTCTAACTCGAGACCGACTCGCAGGGGGCCCAGTTGGTACACTATTCTCCCTATAGTTAGTTTTTCGGTTCCTGGTTGTATAATTGAAACAAACATACACTAGCTAAATCCCCTCACTCACTCTCTTATGTATGAGATGAGGACCATGATGGTAGGAGAAGTTTGGTGAAAATCCCAGAACTTCCCCTTCTTATCCAGAAATAGTGAATCCCTGAAAGAGCTTTGGAGATTAATGCCACCCTTAAAGTGCTGAAATAAGCAGGCGCTGTGACACTTCTTCCAAACTCATTTAACTGGCCACTTTGACCTGTGCAAAACTCATACTGTTACCAGAAAAAGGGGTCTCGATCCAGACCTAAAGAGGGTGTTCCTGGATCTCATGCAGGAAGGAATTCAAGGTGAGTTGCAGAGTGAAGTGAGAAGAGAGTTTATTGAAAGCTCTTACATTCCATTACAGAGCAGGGCATTCTCAGAAAGCAAGCAGATGAATTCACCGTCTTTAAGTTTTTCTTATATAGGGGTTTTGTCTATAAAGATTCAACTCAGCTGTGACTATATGCGGGCGAGCAGACAGCATGGCAAAATTATTATTCTATTGATTCAAAGAAAACTATCCTTAAGATTTTAGCGTGTGCATACATTAAAGCATAACTCTTGTTATCTTGAAAGCGTACATTGTTTGGGTATTGGGATGTCTGCACTCTCCGTTGTGTCCTTGCAGGTATCATTCAGCTGTTTCCTCAGCTATAAACATCTTAGGTCTGTGGGTTTTGACTGCAAGAAATGTGCCTTGTTAGTCTCAAGATGGAGCTGAACTTAAAGTGGCATGACCCTGACTCTCCTAGGCGCCTGCTTCTCCAACAATATGGATTATGAAGAATGTGGACCATTGCAAATGTAATCAGCTGGTGACTTCACTTACAACCGCTGTGCCAGATGAGAAATCTCTACTGAGAAAATCAACATATTCCCTGGCACTTTGCATGCAGCTACTGATCTTACTAATGCTTTTTTCTCAAACCAATTTGCAAGAACCACCAGAAGCAGTTTACCTTTACCTGACAGGGTGAACGGTATACACTCACAATGTTGCCTGAAGGACATGCCAGTTCTTCTGTTCTATGCAATAATATTTTCTGCAGAGATCTAGTCATCTGGTCAGTTCACAAAACATTACACTGGTCCACTAATATTCACGATATTATGCTTATTGAATCTGACAAACAGGAAGTAGCAAAGGTGGGAGATAATCATAAAATGTAGGGGCCCTCCACCTCAGTGAAGTTTCTAGCAGGTTCAGAGGTGTGGAGTATGTTGAAATATCCCCTCCAAGTGAAAAACAAGTTGATATATTTTGCACCGCCTCCTGTAAAAAAGAAACACGATATATATTTGGGCTTTGGGGATTTTAGATACGACATATATTATATTTGCATGTGCTACTTTCAGCCTATGAGGCTGGAAGTTTCAAATGGGGGGTCAGAGAAAGTTTAGGCTGTAATGGAAGCTGCTTTACCACTTCACTCGTAGGATTCGGTAGATCCAGTGATATTTGAAGTGCCTGTGGCACACTGAAATGCAGTGTGGACCATCTGACAAGCATCCACAGGAGAATTGCAGCACAGAACTCTGGGATTTTGGAGTAAGTCTATGTCCTCTTCGGCAGCTAACTGATCTCATTTTGAGAATCAGCATCTGGCTTGCTACTGGGCCATAACCATGGGGCATCAGGAGACCACACAGCCTAAGTGTTATCTGATCTACCTGGCCATAAAGTTGGGTGTGCGTGTAACAGCAACGTACCATCACATGGAAATGATGTATGAAGCTGATCTGAGGCAAATCTGAAGGTGCAAAATGTGGCATGAGTAAGTGACTCAGACTCCTTTGACACCAACTCCTGTTACATTGCCTCCACTGTCTCAATCCATGTCTACGGCCTCCTGGGATGTACCTTATAGCCAGTTGACTATGGAAGAAAAAAGCTCACGACTGGTTTACAGATGGGCATGATATGTTGGTACCACCCCCTGCATTGGACAGTTGCAGCATTTCAACCACAATCAAGGATTATCTTGAAGGACAGTGGTGAGGGGAAATCCTTTCAGAGGGCAGAACTTACACTTGGTTGCCCACTGTGTTTGGAGTGAGAAGTGGCTGAAAGTATGGATCCGTATTAATTCATCAGCAGTTGCTAATGGTTTGATTGGTTGGCAACTTCAAAGGAACAGGACTGGAAAAATGGTGACAAGGAAGGCTGTGAAAGAGCCACGTGATGGGCCTCCCTGAAGGGCTTATATTCCTGCTTCTAGTGGGACATGTTTTGCTTTGTCTCGCTCCTACTTCACAGCCCATCATGGTGCTTGTGCATGTGTATATCTGGTGGTGCTCTGTTCCAGTCACTTGTACAGAGAGGGCAGCCCTGGGTGACCTTGCAGCCTGGGCTGGGCCTGTAGCTGACCACTGCACACTCCAGACCTTCAGCTACCCAGCTCCTTCTGCATGTCCACGCACTGGCCTCAGCTTGCCTGTGCCCTAGGGTGTCGTTTCCTGCTGCACGTCCACAACTGGACCCTGACACCTTTAGTGCACCC